GTTCCTTGAATCTTCCCAGTTTCTGGACGGAAATCTGTGTGTTCGGGTCCTTTTACATGACTTTGCATCTCTTCCTGCAGCCCTGTGTCCACAGGGGGTCCGTGTAGAGGCAGGAGGGGCTTTTCAGCCCCTGTTGTTCACTTTTTATGTCGCATGCTGCAGGTCCACCTTAAAAATCACCAGCTGAAGGTCAATTTCCTCCCAAAATCCAACATAAAGTGATTTCAAATGCTCTAGAAATGTTTCAAAACTATTAAGAAGTCAAACTGAATCATTTAAAGCACCTAAAGAAACTCTAAACGTATTTAAATCTGATGTTTATTGTAGTTAGTTCAAGTTTAAAGGGGAAAAGTTATTTAAATTGTGATTTAAAACACTCATAAGATGCATCCTTAAATTGAATTAGATGTTTTTCTTAAACATTTTGGAGAACAAAACAAGAACAGAGTTATTTAAGGTGGATTTTGTTCTTTTTTTTGACAGACCTTTGCATCATTTCACATCTGGAATATTACCTAATCTTAATATCCTGCACTATAAAAAGCAGTTTGTTGATCCTAAAACCAGATTTATCATTAAAACTGGTCCTTTCTCTTGTTTTTTGCAGTTATCGGCCATGTTTTAGTAACGTGCTCCAGAAAAGAGGCTTTTTTTGGTCCGTATTGCAACACATTTGCTTCACAAAGCGTCCAGTAACACCAGCACAGATTAAACTCTGGAGTTTTAATCTGAGGGCACATGAGGACATTCCCTTCAAAACTCCAAAAAGTGTAAAAGCTGGAGGTTTTTCAGGCTTTTGTCCTTGTATCTAAAGTATATTTGGCCTAATTTCAGGCTGATGTTTTGTGGAAAAGGGTCTGTTTTAATATTTGATGACATTAGAGCCTGACTGGAGCTTCAAATGAAGCTCTGAGTAAGTTAAACTAATCAAAACAAGACTAAGGAACTTTAGAAATTATATAAAAAACAAAAAAAACTCTGGATCAAGACAAGAGGAGACAGTATAAATATACATGAAACAGGAGCAGGCGGACACAAGAGGAAGTGACCAGAAACAAGAGGAGGGTCACTATTTCAAAATAAAACAGGAAATAACAAGACTAAGAACAAACCAAGACTAGATAGATAGATAGATAGATAGATAGATAGATAGATAGATAGATAG